GAAAGTTATAAAATAGTTATACATGTTGCCTGTCGATCCAAACTAATGTGATACGGTTATCATACTCAATACGAATTATGTTAACTTCATTTTCTAAATATTCACCTTTTTATAATACTTCAAATTTGACTGAAAATAATATCATAAATATAAGAATATTAATTCTAGTAACAATAGCTATTTTCTTTAGAAAAATTTATTAGAATTCAATTTATTTAGATTATAATATTAATTTATAACTTCAAATTGTGTTTCTTTGGAATAATTGTAGGATATCAGATTTATAAATTAAATTGCAATAAAAATATTTGTATTGTAGGAATAAACATATAGAAATAAAACATTTGCCATCTACTGTATGCAAGCAGTTCGTTACCACAGTCTAACTATTACTTACCTTTGACTGGAGAACATTTATTTATTGTTTGATATCGTTCTTACATTTCTAAAATGAAACAAACGAAAGAAAGAACTGCTCGTTTAATTGAATTGTTCCGGGAGAAACGTGTCTTATGGAACCCTAAGTCTGCGAATGTCAAAGACAGAAATAATACGTGGTACGTGGACATGATACGTGGACTGAATTGGGCGTTGATGCAGAGATGAATTCAACCGGAATAGAAAACAAGGATTCGAACGTTGTTTGGACAGTTTCGGCGAGAGTGGAAAAAAGGAGGAAATACAAACTTGTTACAGACTTGTTACTACATTACCAAACGGTATAATCTTGTAACAAGTTATAAAAACATGTTGTGCAACAAGGTTACAAGACAATTTGTTTTGTAACACTGTTTTCTCATATAGTGTGGACGCAGCTTAACATCCAGAATTCTTGGGGCAGTATAATAAAAACAAGTGTGATTAAGAAATTACTACATGGAATTGATTGAATTTTTTTGCAAGATGAATACTATAATAATTCCTTGTCTCATAATAGCGAGTCATTCATGGTGCAGATTATGGTTAAGATATAACCATACGCTATTAGTAATATTCATTTGAATTTTTAAACTCGTATCTCCATCCTTTTTCATTTAATACAATGTTACAAAAAAATAATCAACGTTCTCTAAATGGAACATTTTTTAATGGATCTTATGAATTCACAGCAACAAGTAGCACATTAACACTGTGACATCACGTTGGCATATTTAAAAGTAACGG